AGGAGCCTGAACTGGGAGTGAAATTGGGAGGGGGGAGCTAGGAAGGTAGCTGAAAGCATAATTAAAGAGATGGACTATTAGATGAGTTTTCAAACCACAATGGATAGACCAACATGCAATGAATTCTCTGGAAGAGAATTCTACAAAACTGGGGCAAAGTTCCTGAAAGCTCACCCAATGATGTTGGGACAGAGCTGCAGAGGACATGAAGTAGACTAGAGTTAGTGAACAGGAGATGGTGAGTGGATAGGACCTCAGAAGTAGAGTAGGACAAGGGCATGGAAGCATTAAGGCAAAGATGAGTACTTTAAAGTCGGTGGGATAGGGAGCCATTGAAGTCAAGCAAGGATGGGGATGAAGGGCTCTCAGAAGTTAGTGCAGAAGTGAATGCGAAGAATAATAATAATCCTTGCATTTGATATAGGGCCTTATCACATCTTCAAGATGTCTCAAAGTGTTTCACAGAATATACTTCAAAGTGAATTGACATTGCAGTAGCCAAGTAGAGTCCTGTAACTCAGTGATTAAAGAACTCACCTCACAAGCGATTCAATACCCGGCAGGGCGAAACCTTGGGCAAGTTTCCTTACTCCACATGCCTGATAATAATCCCTCAATGAAATAAATAAATAAAATAATAATTTGGTTACTCAATCTACAACTGTTTGTGGGACATGCTGTGCGGGATTGGCTGTTGCGTTTCGCCCACAAATATACTGTCAATTCACTTTACAGTATATTCTGTGAAGCGCTTTGAGACATCTAGAAGACGTGAAAAGCGCTACAGCAAATGCAAGGATTATTATTATTTATATTTTGTGGGCAAAACACGGCAGCTAATTGCGCACAGCAGTGTCCCACAAATAGTCGTGGTTTGCGTGAACAAATTATTAGTATTTTGAAGGGATTATTACCCCTGCAAAGCAATCCACCAATCGACTAATAACCGGATTCGTACTTACTGCTAGATGAACAGAGGCATGTAGATCAAGGAAACTTGCCTGATGTTTCATCCTGCCCAGGAATTGAACCCAGGTCTTCTCGCTTTTGAGGCGAGTGCGCTAACCAAAATGCTATAGGGCAGATTGTGTGGTTTACCTCAGGGTAAATAATTTGAAGCCATGATGCTCATGGTTAAGATCTGTAATCCACTGTTTGCATAGCTAATGTATAACCAGAATTTTCTTGGGATTGATTTGCTCTACAATGAAAGTTTTAGCCCTTCAGGTGGAACTTGCCTTGCAATTTTAAGATGTTCTGTTCTGCACTTTTAATCTTAAGCAAGTCAAAAGAGTTGTTCCTACAGCAATGCTTTATTTTCCAGAGGACTCGTTGATAGTTTCCATTATCTTACTTCTATACCAAATCTCCCAAAAGTCTACTAGAGTTCCAAAAATTTCTACTTGCTGCAAACTGGACAAATTGAATGAGGTAGTTTGTTGCTGCAGCACAACATTGGTTCTGCTTGGGCTATTAGCTGCAGGGAATGGTTTATTGCAGTGAGTGGTTTGTCTTCCCAAAGGTAATTCATTTAAGCAATACTAGAGTCTTGAACAGCTTCAATAATAATAAGAATACTTGCATTTGATACAACACCTTTCAGTCAGGGGTATATCTAAAAGTGTTTCACGGGGTTTATTGTACTCTACTGTCAACTATAGTGACTATATTTTGTAGGCGAACCAAGTAGCTAATTTTGCTCACATCAATGTCCCACAAACAACCATGAAGGGAATGATCAATTTTATCTGGCGGATTGTTAACGAGAACACTGGGAGAAACTTGCTTCCATTTTCAAATTATGCCATGGGATCATTAACAACCTAACCCAAGGTTCTATCTCCTTGTTTAACATCTCATCCAGAAGGATATAGGGTTTTTTTTGATACTTATGAGATGCACCAATAACAAACAATTGTAAAATTTTGGCAAACTCTTGGAGTGAATGTACTGAAGACAATTCAAATTAATCCATTGTTTGATATTAACGAATTATGTCTCTAGATCCAGTCCAAGCCATTACACTTATTAATTCAACATATGGGGGGGGGGGGGGGGGAAGGGGTTGAAATAGGTCTCCTCAGATTGAGCTTCAGTCAATATATCTGGCAAGGATAGACTAATGCAATACAACATCTTATTTCTAGGGAAACTCTGAGGCGAAGTGTCTACTGTGGCATCCCAATGCTAAATAAACCAGACACCCCTTGGCACCAATGATGTGGGTTGATATCCATGTGCAAGTGGTCAATGCATTTGTCCCAAAGCAAAGATTTTACATGCCAAACACACACCTTTCTCTCCCTCTTTCCCTCTCTCCATGCACACAGCACGACTCTTGATTGTTGTTTGATCTAATGTCAAACATTGGTTGATACTAAATCCTCAATACAGATCGAACGCATCAACACAATTGTGCCAATCAATACTTGCTTATTAGTGCCAGAATTTAGATACTGATGGGTTACAGCATTTCAGCACTTAATGGTGTGTCTTGATCTTTTATTAGTATGAAAGTGCTGTCATACTAAGACTGGTTTGATCCTGAAGAAATGCAAGTCTTATTTAGCCAGGTACAATAAACTGACAAAAAAAGGGTGCATTGAGTAGTACTGAAACAATAAAACGAAAGTGAACTTGGTGCTGCAAGAATAGTTGTGCACTTGCATGCAAGTTTACTAGGAAAATAATTTAGCCAGGTAGCATCACTGTCAGCCAGCAGCTCAATGGTGTTTATATAGCAGGGCAGAGTTAGCGATGAGAAGAATCAGGAAAAGAAATAGAGAAAAAGTCAGAGAGACACACACACATCCCTGCGCCAGCACTGCACCACTCCCACCCGCACTGCACCGCCGCCACCCGCGCGTCTGCAACACACCCCCTTGCGCCAACACTGCATTCCCCCGCCCGCACGCGCTGGCACACCACCCCCATCTCTACTCACTGGCACCGTGCCACTCCCCTTCGCGCTGACATCGCACCCCCCTTTGCGCAGGCACTGCAACTCCCCCCAGCACGCCAGTACCACACCACCCCCACCCCGCCGCACAACAGCATTGCATCACCCCCCTCTGTTTAGTATCCCCATGCGTCAGCCACCCAGCCAATCAAAACAAAAAGCGTAAGGAATGATGTTATCTGCACTGATTTATTTTTCCACAATGGAGTCAGTCACAATATTGAAATATTCTACATCTATAAGACTTGCAAATCTATTTTCTTGCCTGTATTCGATATAAGATTTTGCCGAATTTTCAGCAATAACTAACACTACTCTGGTGTCAATCTGGTTCATTCATAACAATAATCCTTGCATTTGATATAGCGCCTTAGCATATCTTAAAACATCTCAAAAGGCTTCCCAGAATATCCTGTAAAGTGAATTGACTGTAAATTTTATCAATTCAGATTTCTAACTTTTTAGAATGTTTATGGTCAAAGAAAATTAACAATTACCCCAAATAAATATCTTAATATCCTCAATGGATGTACAGTTCACCCACAAAATAGTTAATCCACTTTAGGGTACATCTTGGGAATCGCTTCAATATGTCTCAACAATGTGATAAGCCAGTATATCAAATTCAAGGATTATTATATTACACTGAGGTCAACACCAATAGTTATCAATGCAACACTGGTATTGTTTGATTCTTTTCTCCCACTTCCAGTTGATCCTGAATCATCACAGTCTGTTTACAAAAGACTTAAATCATAGAACAGATCAAATACAATTTTCAATCATTGAAGTGAGAAAATAAAATGGCATTTCTTTTATAAAACACTACCACTTGCATCATTAATCCTACACAGCAGCAACTATACGGCATGTGGTAATCGGGTAATAAGGACCTCTCTAATCAAGTAGCTCAAGCATAATATTTTTTCAATGAAACTGTCATATCAATTTAATATCTTATTAAAAGATCTACTTACAAGTTAGTTCCAATGATCATTAAATTAAGTTTGCTTTCATCATGCAGTCAATTACCATATAGAACTAAGTACTGTGAGTGCAGTTAGTGCAATTTCTTCATAAAAACTTACAGTTCTAAACTTAACTTTTTAATATAATGATTCTGTGTTGATTAAGAGCTTTATGCTGGTAACTTAAAACAACCTTGTCATTCTGATATGTCTTTAGGTCTATATCTTAAAAAAAAGGCACAGGCTTCATGAAATAGAAAGCACCTCTGTCGGTCATCAGATAGCTGTTTGTGGAATATCGTTATGCGGACATTAGCTGCAACGTTCACCCATAAAATATACATTCAATACATTTTACAATATATACACAATGAAGCGCTTTGAATCGTCAACAACAACAAGATTCCATTTATAGAGCGCCTTTCACGTCAGGAGGACGTCCCAAGGCGCTGCACAGTTGGGTCATGACCCGAGCAGGGGGGAAATGGTCAGGGTGAGGGGAGGGAAGGGAGGGAGAGAGGAGGGGGGAAATGGTCAGGGTGAGGGGAGGGAAGGGAGGGAGCGAGGAGGGGGTAGAGAATCGAGAGGGGAGCTGAAGGCACAGTCAAAGAGAAAGGTCTTGAGACCGGCCTTGAAGGAGGAAAGGGAGGAAGCGGCGAAGGCACTGGGGGATAGAGTTCCAGAGCCTCGGGGCTGAGAGGCTGAAGGCCCGGCCACCGATGGTAGGGCGGTTGGGGCGGGGGATGTGGAGCAGACCGGAGCCAGAGGAACGGAGGGTATAGGCAGGTAGATAGGTCGGAGAGGTAGGAACTCGTCCTCCTGACACAAAAGGGTTATACCCAATGCAAGATGATTATTGTTGGGTAGGGGAGGGAATAAAAAAGAGCCCTGAATTTTGTTACACCAACATCACAAAATCAAGTAACAGTTTTTCCAGCATAATTCATATCATTATGCTGCGTGTTATTTTAAGATTGACCAATTATTTGTTTGCAAAGGTAGTAGTACCACAAAATACCAGTGAAATTTATAACAAAGTGGGTGAAAGTTAGTTTGACCATTATTACTCTTACCTGTGTAACCAGAGGTTCCAACAACCGTTCTACAGTCACAGTCCTTATTTCCAAACTTTTGGGATCCCATTTTAGGAGGATAGGCGATGTTGCTGCAGTCATGTTTGGCTGAAACATAAGAATAGTTGGCACTTTAAAAAAAATCAGCATTGGTTTCTTAAAGATATTTGTGCTGTAGGCAACTGAAAGTGTTGCATTGATTATTTCAGTTAGACTAAAAGACTATGGAATATGACAATAATAATCCTTGGATATAGCACCTTATCATTTCATAGAATTTCATAGATTTCATAGAATATTACAGAAGGAGGCCATTCGGCCCATCGAGTCTGTGCCGGCACTTTGACAGAGCAAGTTACTTTCACTAACCCCATCATGTCATTGAGAAGTCACAAAGTGTTTCACAGAATATACTGTAAAGTGTAGTGACTGTGTATTTTGCGTAGCGGCAGCGAATTGTGCACAGTAGTGTCCTACAACAGTCATGGATTGAGTGACCAAATTATTATTTTTTATTTTTGAAGGGATTGTTACCTAAGAAAACGATCTGCCAATCGACTAATAACCAGGTTCCTACTTACTGCTAGGTAAACAGAGGTGCGTGGAGTAAAGCAATTTGCCTAAGGTTTCGCCCTGCCGGGAATCAAACCCATCACTTAGTAAGCACAGATATCCAAAGATAATCCTTGATTTTAGCAACTCTTCATTCAATATTTAATAAACAAAACCTTGAATAGACAGCAATCTATATTTATCTCCTGGTAAAAAGGAGGAATGAGGAAGAATATTCTATTGTCGCTGTCCTGAGTGAAGGGCACTATATACTTGCAAATCTAGATGAAATGTTAAACAAAGGTCCCGTCTGCTTGTCCAGGTGGATATTAAAGATTCCAGGGCACAATTCAAAAAGTGAAGGGAGTTTATCCTACTGTACGGGCCATCAATCCCCTTGGCTGTTTGTAGGATATTACATTGCCAAATTGGCTGTCACGTTTGCCCACAAAATACACATAGCCACATCATAGAAATATAGAAATCTACAATGCAGAAGGAGCACACTCTCTTCCTGGAGGGGCACATCCTGGTTGACTAACTCTGGAAAGTATTTGGCACAGGTTGGCAAGAGCCAAGGCTTGGGGGTCCCAAGTGTGTGAGTTGGGGTAACTGCTGGAGTCAAACCAGCTAAAACCGCATAGCTTGCCATTGATTTCGCTGTCTGGCAAGCTTTTCCGCTGATTGTCCAACTACGAGCATCCTATCCATTAGGGCTTTGGCTTTCTGGGTTAACAGGAGCTAAGTGGGATGACTCCCTGCCCCCAGTGACTGATCTGTCCTTCCAGGTCCTGACAAAGAGCCAGGCCGGGCTGTGCTGTCATCAGCAGTGCCCTGGAATACTGCGGATCTGCTTAGCTCAGGAACCAGACTACCGAGACCGCCGCAGAGAGTTGGCTTGACTCTGACCTTCTGTTGCCAAGCATGTCACCTTGGAGCCAGTTCAGCTTACCACCACCCCCCAACCCCACCAGGAGGATATTCAAACAAAATCACCATGACTGACTTCAAAATTATTAAGACCAAAATGGGAGTAGAAATGGTGAAAAATGTACCAGACCAGCATCATATTCAGAAACGCATGAGAAAATGGTTCAGAAACCTTGAAGAGGAAAACTGACACTTTATATAACATTTGTAAACAATAAAATGTAGAACAGGTTATAATGAGAAATCACCTAGCAAATAGTGACCACAATATAATTGAGTTCAATGCCTGGCCCGAAAAAGTTTGAGAACCATTAATCTATTTTTATAGATTGAAAATCCAGTCACTCAGCAGATGCAGGCCATGTCCCCCACCCGGGCGACCCCACTTTAGGTGGTCGGACCTTCAGCCTCTCTCTCCCTAGTCTTTGGAACTCCAACCCACAGTCCATCCGCCTCGCTCTATCCCTTGCCTCCTTCAAGGCCTGAATCAAAGCCCTCCTCTTCAACCAGCCAGCGCCTTGGGACATCCTCCCGATATGAAAGGTGCTCTTTAAATATAATTTCATTGTCGTATGTCCACAATCAATGTAAACTCACCTCAACCTTCGAAATGTGACAGAGCAGAAACACATTAGGCAAGATATTCCATCTGGGTATAGCTTTATCTATTTTCTTAGCATTTCACAGTATGCAGAATTTGGTAAATTGTTGAGTTCAGTCTCAACTCTGAAGCCATTTTTCTGACTTCCTGAAAGAACTTAAGAGAAAACTAACTTCAAAATTAATATATTTAAGATTCTGCAAAATTCTGGATGCTCTGAAATGTTAAAAAATAAAGTAAATGTAGACCAAGATGGATTTCTCTCCTATTATGCTTAGATTGCTAGATTAGCTTAAATGGAAAAAATAAGCTAAGCTTGAATGGCACTCCCTCACTCAGTGGACGCCAGCCAACTCCACTTCCCCCACCCGAGTGACCCCACTTTAGGTGGTCGGGCCTGCAGCCTCTCTGCCCCTAGCCTTTGGAACTACATCCCACAGTCCATCCACCTCGCTCCATTCCTTGTCTCCTTCAAGACAACAACAACAACAAGATTCCATTTATAGAGACCCAAATCAAGACCCAAATCAAGACCCTCCTCTTCAACCAGCCTTTGGTCACCCTCCTCCTCCTCCTTCCCTCCCTGCTCACCACTCTTCCCGATTCCCCCCAGTGCAGGCCCAAATCCCTGACTGTCAAGCACCTTGGGATGTCCTCCCAAAGTGAAAGGCGCTATACAAATGTAATTTGTTGTTGTTGATTAATCAAAGCATTAGAACTGAACGTTCTATGCAGCCATTAGATTATAATCATTGCATTTGATATGGCGCCTTATCACATCTTCAAGAGTGCTTCACAGAATATATTGTAAAATGGAGTGACTGTATTTTGTGGGCGAAACGCGGCAGCCAATTGCGCACAGCAGTGTTCCACAAACAGTCGTGGATTGAATGACCAAACCATTATTATTTTGTTTGAAGGGATTATTATCCCTGGAAAAGCAATCCGCCAATCGACTAACCCGGGTGCTTTCGCTTGTGATGCGAGCGCACTAATCGCTATGTTTAGGGACTCCAGGATGTTTTGCCGTCCCTTTCCCCAATCACACAATGTTTATAAACAGTATAAAAGAAGAAAATACATACTCTTGTGAGTCAATATTATGATGATTCAATCAGGCAGATTGCTTTTGTTTTTCTGCAGTTTAAGATCAAAAATGTGTTAGAAATCAATGTAATCTTTTGAAATGAACAACAAATAACATTGAAAGTGTTGTCAGATAATCATTGGGCTGCCAGTTTTGTTCCGATTATCCTAATGAGCTAGAAAATTCAAGCGATCTGGCAAAGCAATTCAAGTGAAAAATTTCTGAACTATGACTCAAGGAAAGGCTGCCATGTAAGGTTCTGATTTCATGGAAAAGTCAAATGTGCAATGCATATCATAGATAAGAATGATGGTCCCGACCCCCAGCTCGGGTCTGAAACACTGATGGTCCAGCACCTTGGGATGTCCTCCCGACATGAAAGGAGCTACACAAATGTAATTTTGTTGTTGTTATCCTTTGATTGAAATGTTAAGCCGAGGACCTGTTTGCCTGTTCAGATACCAGTTAAAGATTCCTATACACTATTCGAAAAGAGAATTTCTCTCAATGTCCTGGCCAATATTCCCCTCATAAATAAAATGCAAAATACTGCAGATAATACCCTCATGAAGTTTGTCTTTCATTTCATGGCTGTTTGTGGGACACTGCTATGGGCAAATCAGCTTCTACATTGGCCTAAATACAGTCATTACACTTTAATGCACTTCACAGGATTTTATTGTAAACAACAACAACATGCATTTATATAGCAAGTTGACGTTTTACAGTAAATGTCTCCACAGGATTAACTGCAAAGTGTAATATTTGTGTATGTTACTGGCAATCGTAGCAGAAAACTTGCACATAGCAATATCCTACAAATAACCACAAAGTGAGTGAGCAATTGTATCTGGGATATTGTCGGCCAGAACATTCAGAAAAACTCACTTTGTTTTTTTCCAATAGGATAATTAGCCATAACAATCAGATGCAACCTCAGTTTAGCATCTCCTCCAAAGGTCAGCAACTCATTAATGCAACACACGTCCAGCAGTGCAGTGTCAGTCTGGACTGTGAGCTCAAGGTCCCACTGTGGGGCTTGAACCCACAAACTTTCTAACTCAGAGGCAGAGGTGCTACCAATTGAGCCAAACTGACGCCATGACTAAATAGTTTCCTCATTATGAAAGGTGATGATACTGAAAAATACCTGTAAAACTACACCATGGGTTCAGCATAAAATTGTTGATTTCACACACAGCGAGTTATGAGTCAGTTATCCATGACAGTATCAGTGTCTGCCAATATTTATACCAATAATATAAAAAAATCAACAGCTTTATATCAAGTTAATTAAAATAACATAGAGCTTTGAAAGTAAATCTAATACAAGCAGAATTAAGAGTACTGTACCATAAAACATGAGGCCCAAAAATCCACCTGTAACCTATAAGCCTATTTTGTCTTAAAGATTAAGATCTCATATAATTGTGGAAAATTCTTTAAATCAATCTAAATTGCGAATCCAATTTTTTTCTAAGAAATGCGGAAATACAGCATCCAAATTAATAATGTATTCAAGAATTTTCCATAATTCTTTGTGATCTTAAATTTTAAATTGAATAATCTTAAAATCTAAGACTGGGTGAAATTTCAGGCCCATTACTTCTTAACTATGGAAAATCAACTTCTTCAAAATTTAAAAAGGATTTCTTATTTCATGAAGATATGAAATAAGATCTCCTTTTTAATTCTTAACAACAACAACATTTCATTTATAGAGCGCCTTTCACGTCGGGAGGACGTCCCAAGGCGCTGGAGAGTTGGGTCGGGACCCGAGCAGGGGGAAATGGTCAGGGGGAGGGGAGGGAAGGGATTGAGCGAGAAGGGGGTAGAGAGTCAAGAGGGGAGCTGAAGGCACGGTCAAAGTGAAAGGTCTTTGAAAGTAAGTAGGGGGATAGTAGGTCAGAGAGGTAGGAGGGAGCAAGGCCGTGAATG